TACCCGACCAATTCATCTGGAAAAAAAATTCACATCGTTATGAGGGCCAGAATCTCCAGACATAAAATAGCAAAATCTTCTATAGAATAGCTAATAAATGCAGTATGTGCCGCACGATTGGCAGTCGAAGGTCCAGGACCATCACTATCCGCAAAACTGTGCAGCATAGAAGGCACGGCTAAAATGCTCATGTCCTGTGTTTCATACTAATTGGCTCATCTCCATCTTTTATCCCCTTTTTTCTTTTTATTTGTTTTCTTCAGTTAACAATTTACTTCTTTTTCATTTAAATCTTATATTAATCCCATATTTAGTTCGTCCCTCTTTTTAAAGATTATTACATTCGGTATATTTCAACAATTGCTCATTGCGGTTTCTACTGCTTGTAGCGCTATTACTACTATTGTCCTATTATCCTTAGGCTTCTTATGTCTTATTATCTTTAGGCTTCTTATATTTAAGCCATGATGTTATTATATTACGTCATAATATTATATATTGCTATGTCATAATATAATATTATTTTAATATATTAGTAGGTTGATTTTACTATCATCAAAAATGTTATTTTTATTAACTTCATTGCTAGCATTGTTTTTATTACCAATTATAATTAGTAATAAATTGCTGCTATTGCTGCCAACATTTATTATCATTAAAATAATTTTGTTTGCTACACCATAACAATGATTAATTATTTGTATTATTATTACTCCCATTATTATTACTATTTTTATGCGTTTTTGCTGTGCAGCGCTATAGCCAGCAAAAATGCATATTGTCGAGAGGCTGTGTGTGTGTGTGTGTGTGTGTGCGCGGAAAGCGAGTGCATTTTGTCACCCACTTTCATCTCAGCAACCAGGAAAGCTGGGAAGCTGAAACTTCGGATATATGTTCCAACCCCGTGTGTCATCCTCCCGTTTTAAGATCTTCCCCCACACGCGCCTAAATCCCGCGTACGAGACCCCCAAAGAAATATGTTGATGGGAAACGATTTCGCGAGCCAGGCAACGTAGAAGGCTGAAACTTTGCAGGAATATTCTCTATGCACGTACGAGACAAAGATTTTAAACTCAGCCCTCTAGCTCCCCAAACACAGCCTCAAGCAGCTCCTGAACCCAAAAATCGTTAGCAACTCGGACCTGAACCGCAATTGCATGTGCGAAACGAACGTGA